GGCACTAACATTTTGCTGCAGTGTGAAACTAATATATAAAATCTCTTAAAGTTGAGGTCTTTAAAATGTTTGCCCAGGAGTAATAAATTGTATTTCGAAAGTCTGTTAGCTAGCTGCTATTTAATGCTTAATACAAATGCTAACAAATCATTTTCCTATCTTTTTTACTTCACTGTACAAATGTGCCCCTGCGACTAAGATTGTTTTCAACAATATGTTCACAATGAAGTTTGGTAACTTTCAGATGGCATTTATTTCTCAATCATTACACCATCAAATTTCCTGAAACAAATTTTTCAGAATAAATCTGGGACATACAAAGTCATAGCCTATGGTAAGGTTTAAAAAGGTGAGGGGTGGAGGGTAATGCACAGCAGGTGATTATGAACAACTGACCAAGATTAGATCCCATGGTGAACAGTTGGACAAAAACAGGCCTGCATCTGAGTGGAGGAAACATAAGAGCCCACCTACCCATGATTATGTTTTTTTTTTTTCACTTTCAAGACAGGAAGCATAACCACAAAAAAAATCTGAATGTTTCATAGTGTTAAAAGTATTTTGGATCTTAAAAGCACACAATAAAGGAGTTATTAACTATAGAGTAACAGTGAGTCTCTGGCTTTCACTGCCTGATGGCCAGATGTGTTACACTTTACCCCTCCCTCCAGACTTTTCTGGTGACTTTAATGGGATTTGGGAGTGTTCAATTTCTACCATTGGCTCAAAACCCAACCAGTTGTGTTCCCTCAATTTAGGGGTCCCCAGCACCCGAGTTCCACTGAATTTCCCATATACTAAAAACAGATTGTTACGTCCATAGGGACAAATTCCCTGAGAGACTGAGTGTTTTAAGTGAAGGAACAACGCCTTTACAAAGGATTATTTACTTCAAAGATATAGCAGGAACATATTTACCAACATCTCCTCAATACCTGAGGGGCATAATCTCCTTTTAAACCACTTCAGTCTCTGGGGAAGGGACAGGGATGAGATTCACAGCTTAACTTGTTCCTATGCAGCATAGTTCCACCAAGTTCCAAATACAAAGTCCCTCTGATGTTTCAGCACCCTGGACTTTCATGGCTTCCCTGATGGGCTAGCAGTACCATCTGGCTTTGAATCCTGACTCCTAAGTTACTGTGGGTTCAGGACTTTGCTGCCTTTACCTAGAACTGAAAAGGACAAACAAAATAGACCAAAATCTCAAACCCATTTCTTGGGGTTATAGGGCCGAAAGGGAAAGGGGGAAGGTAGTCCTTCCCCCATTCTCAACTTAGCACATGGTATCCATACTTAGGGTAAAGACTTTTAACCCCTGGAGGCTGCCAGAGAGACAGGAGTGAGACTGTTCCAATCAAATAATTTTAAAGATATATCCTCTTCTGACTATGTAGCCAAAGGAAAGAGGCTACTCCTAGGCACACAGAAGGGGGACATCATCATTGTAACAATAACTAACATTTATATAGTACTTACTATGTGCCAGGCACTATGCTATGCATTTTACAATTATTATCATATTGGTCCTCACAACAACCCTGGGAGGTAGGTGCTATCATTATACCCATTTTATAGATGAAACTGAGGCAAACAGGGATTAAGTGATTTGTTTAGGGTCACACAGCTAGGAAGTATCTGGGAACGGATTTGAACTCAGGTCTTCCTGACTCTAGGCCTCTCCTCCCTACTCTCCAGTCTCCAGTAACCACAGACCTCTGTCAGTCTCTCTGAGCTGCCTGGGCTACAACAATGACTAACTTCTTTGCTTTCCTGATCAGAATTCAGTCTGGTATATTTGTTCAATCTTTGTTGAGAAGACGTAAGAGGCAAGCTAGATTCTAATTCTTCCTTTTACTCTACCATCTTGACTTTACCTCCCAGCAACAGTTCTCAATGTTAGATATCCTCATAATCAGCATGAGCCATTTTATCTGATTCATCCCCTAGTGCTCATTGGCCCCTAGATGAGAGGAGGGTCTTGAAAGAATGGGACATAGAAGTGGTAAAATTTGAGATGATGAAGTTAAGAAAAAGAAAGAAAAAGCAGGTGATTCCAAGGCCCAGTAGAGCATTGCAGTGGGGTGTCCCTGGGAGCCACGTAGCAACAAGCCTCCATTGGGTGCTGAAAGGAAGTGGGGACTCTGAATCAAAGGTGAGCACCCAAGGCAAATATTACCTATATCATACATTTTGCTCCCACTTTGGCAACATGACCTCCAGGTACATGAGTCACTACTCTAAATTTCCCTATTTTCTGCCACTTCATTTGCCTACATCAACTCTTAATTTTACAAACAACTCTCAATTATCTCAATTATCCATATCAGTCAAGAATGAGAAAAATAACCACACTTCATAGAATCTCTTAGCTAATGGTTATATATTCTTCCCCTGCCAAAAATTTACCAATAATGTGCCTTAGAAACAGATGGGCAGCTTTGAGTTTTCAATCAAAATTTAACTTTATCAACATAGCATTCTAGGGATGGGGAGGAAGGCACCAGGGGATCCAACAGTTATACCTCCATACCATGGAGACAGGACCCTTCTCTTTCTGTCACTCTGGGTGATAATATTTCAATGCTTTGATGGATCTGTGATCTCACCTATATGGCTACTACCTTCCCAGATGCAGAACAAAATTTATCTGTGAATGTCCATCCCATGTGACTCCTAACAACTAACATTTATATAATAAACTCCTTTACATACATCACCTCATTTAAGCCTAACTCTAACCTTGGGAAGTAAGTGCTTATGTTAGTATTATCCTCAATCTCCTGAAGTCCAGGGAGATTAAGTGACTTATCTATGATTGATGGAGGTAGTGCAAAACCCAAGGGTAAGGTGCTCAAATTTTTATAAGAGCTTACAGCTCATTCTGCCTTAGTCAAATCTTGGTGTAGGTGATGCTGTTTCCTCAACATAAACTGCTCTACAGGAGTTGTTAACTATATCTATGTTTCATGGAAAGCTAGGGAAATCCCTTGCTTTTCTGAGGCAGTGCCCTCTGGTACTCTGTTGTTCATCCTTCATTTTCCGAGAGGACCAATGACTTCGTAGGGTGATATCTTGACTTGCCAATGAATTGGATTTAAGTGAGGATTTAAGTCTTCAGTCTCATTCTCTCTTCCAGAGTCATCAAAATCCAGGCAAGACAAAATCCAGGCCCTGGATGCAGTGGATGATCTTGGAGTCTTCAATGTTTGACCAAGCTCTAAGCCCTTCACAGCACCTGTTGTGGTCACCTTCATGGTCATTGGAACAACTGTTCTCATCCACTCATTCTAATAAGTGGAAGTCTTCACATGTTGGAGTAGACATCCTCCTAACTCACCAACACTTTTGAGGCCCATTGGTTACCCTCAACCTTGTTTAGCCTGCATGCCTACACTGTTTCACTGAAGCATGGTTGCTGTGTATGCTACAACTTCTTGGAGACACTGGTGAGAGTTGGGTGACAGTGGATACCAAAGGTGGATAAATAGCCCTGAAAAGGGCTCAGCTAGCCCTCTCACCATAGGTTCTAGTCCTCCCTGAACACCCCACATGCCACGATTATATTCTAGATAGAGCTACACACATTTTTACCTGGTCAGGAGCGATAGTTCATAGGACTGAGAGGGGCTGCACTTGAATGAGAGGGTGCCCTTGAAGGAGGGAGAAAGTCTGTTGCTGAAGAACTCAAGCTTTGAATCTGTGGTCTGAGTGATGCTTAGCTATCCTCATGGGGCACAAAATGGTTTGGCTTCAGTGTTGTGTTTTAGGCAGGGTGGGTGCCAGACCTCTATGAGATTACATAAGTGGACTTCATTTGAAAGCCACTGGGAGTTGGAAAAATGGCTTTGGTGGAAAATTCGAAGAAGGGCTTGTTACTCCAAGACTACTCATCAGAGTTTCATGCCACTAAACAACCTGACAGATAATATCATCTAACTAAACAATGGGAAAAATGGTCAAGAGAAGGAATGTCAATGAGACCCAAGGTACTTGGGATGGGAAGCAGCTGATGGAAAAGAAACAGACTCCTGAGTTCATGCAAATGGGGCTGACAACAGCAGTCTTCTAAGGGTTGGTAAGTTGGTAGTACAGTACAATACGGTATCTAGCTCATTTTCATTGCTGACTCTGGGTTCTGGATAGGAAAGAAGAGGAAACCTGTGGGCAGAAAACAGTGAAGAAACAGCCACTAGCAGTCAAGCAGAAACTTCAATTGTCTGAAGTATTTCCAATGTGATACACCTCCAGGACCAGAGCTAAGTAACTGTTTTTGAACCTGGCACAAGAGGGAGAAAGAACAGGAAAGAAGTGAGCCTCAAAGATGAATCCTCTAGATGACAGATACGTAGTGTTCAGAACCATCTGGTCATTCTGTTTTAGCTACCTAATCTTTCTAAGTTATATTATGTTTAAGCTAGTGATGAAATGCAAGTGCTGTCTGCAAATGTTTCAAGTTGAGTGCCTTGGGACAAATCCCCAGTCAGCTACCCTAGTTAGAACTTTGTCTAGGGCATCTGGACCAAGGGTGCAGACCTCCAAGGGAAATTGGGACAATGACCTTCCCCAAGAGGAGTATCAGAAAAATGGGGATCCTTCCCATGACTCCACAACCACAAACCAGGGTCTAAGATTACCAGAGAACATTGTCTGGAGCATGATAGGTGCTCGGTATGGCAGTTCATTCCCTGACAGGTGAGATTCGGGAGTAGGAAAGAGCATATGGACATTGTTCCAGACCTGAGGAGGGAATTGGAGAGTCTTTAAGTGGTTTCATTTTTGTCATTGTATTCCCAGCCCCTAGCAAAGGGCCTGGAAATAGTATGTGCTTAATAAATATTTGTTGATTGATTGATTGACTGAGGAGGCAATCTCTGTGGATACAACTTCTCTTTCATTTGCCCACCCCCCCAATCTCAGTGGTCACACAAGGGCAAAAAAGAGAACCATTTGGCGGAAATAACTTAATGTTTATTATTATAATTATTATTCAAGGACGCTTAACATACAACTAATTTGGACTTATAATGATCGGGTATCTGATCAGGTACATCATTTTATAGATTACCTAAACTATCTACTGTACTTGAAGGGAACAAAAGTATTAATGACAAAAGTGAGCCTAAGCTATTCTGAAAAGGCTCCTGGTGTTCATGGAAAACCCAAGTACCACACAGGAATGAAAAGACTACATGTTCCTCATCATTTTTGCTACTCTCCACCCACCCCCCAACCGCCACTTTAAAAGCACTTTACAGTCTACGTAACGTTCCCTTGTCATATCTATAACAGCTGCAGAGTTACTTGTTACTTAATTTGAGTTTTAATGGATCCTGACTGTTCAATTGCCTGTTTCTCCACTAGAACAGATAGGACCTCTCTGAGCAATGGGGCCAGGCCAGGGGACTGACTGTCAATATCTCTCTATTTTTTTCTTATGGTCATTATGGCTGATGTTCCCTATGCCTTCTAGTATGTTCATGGGCAGAGGGAAGACAATGGTGGAATTCTTCTCTGTGGCCACAGTAGCCAAAGTTTGCAGATAGCGCAGCTGAAGAGCAACTGGGGATTCAGACAGTACCAGGGAGGCCGACTTCAGTGATTTAGAAGCATTCATCTCTCCTTCCGCTGCCAGGACCTAGAGGAACAAAGGCACAAAAAAGCCAACATTCACCACTGTGTCTCTGGATTTTATTCAGAAGTTTCCACCAGCCCATTCCTGGGCTACTCTGGAATCATCACTCTTTCATCTTTGGTTTTATTTTACAAAGAGATGATTGGAACGCAGAGGCTTCAACTTGTTCCTTTGATCACTTACTCTAGGGAATGTTTTCTTCATGTCATTGCTGACATCGCATCTCACAATATGAGATCTAATTCAAATTCTGTTAACTTTCAATCATGAAGATCAATGGGCACTTCTGATTCCTGGAGGGTAGTATCTTTGTCCTGAAAAGGTAGGAGGAGGGGAGGTACAGATGGACCTCAAGAGGGCCCCTGGGTTGTGGTGGGTGAATCTGCGGTAATTATGACCAGAGGATTCTATAAACCTTAGGTCTATGGCCAGCAGGTCCTATGGTAGGGAAGAGTCCTGAACTGTGATGATGTGTATTAGATGGGCTGGTGCAGGGATGGGGGCTAAGAGAGACCCTGAGTCATAGCCCATGACTCCTGTGGGGTTTGCAATGAGGAAAGCGCTAGTAAGGGTAAAGAGTAGGTCCTAGGAGACATGGACTTGTATTTTGGTTGGTGAGATCAAGTTAGGAGTCTAAGGGACCCTCAGTCATCGTCCATGAATCCTTTGGTAGAATTTTAAGTTTCTTCGCAGGGGAAATGGTTTTTCATTTTATCTTCGTATTCAGTGCCAAGTACAGTGTCTTGAATAGAGTAGGCGTTGAAAAGAGAATTAATGGTTGAACTGGATTATATGTTACCAGTGAATGAAAATATCTCAGTGAGCTTGAGTAGTACTTGGTATGTCAGGGTCTTTTATGCCTTGACTTCCTTGACTTCCTCCACACCTATTATCTTTTTTATCTTATTTATTTTATTTGTTTATTTTGTTTGTTATTATGTTGTATTGGTTTATGTTATTTATTTATTTGCAGGTAATGGTTCTCTAGATAGAGGAGGAGAAGGGATATAGTCGGAAACAATGTTGATGTAAAAACAAATATATAAACAAAAATTTTAAAAAATGAATGAGAATTATTCAGGAACTGGATCACTCTTTTCAACAAGTGCTTGTCATTGCTACTGCACTAAAGTATTTTCCTACCTGTGATGTCCAAACTCAATGCTGTGGAACAGCTGGGGCTCAGCTAATAGTTAATCACACACCAGATACGTGGTAAAGAAAGATTTATTTCACAATAAAAGCATGCAAAGAGCTATAGGACGCGTTTCTAGTCTCTGTTAGTTCCTGGGAATACAGGAACACACCCATACAAAAATAAAAGGTTTGTTCTGGGGCTAGGATAATGGTAGAATTGAAGGGACTTGAGTTCACTCCCCATTTTCCAACCACATCAGCCTAGACTACACTGAGCAAAGAAGTTATGGAGCAGATATGGGGCAGATTGATTTAATTTTGCCCTCAGGTGGATTGATCTGGAAGCCAGCAGAGGGTCTTTTGAGCAAGGAGGACATAGAGTCAGTTCTAAGACCCTAGAAATGAGGTCTTAAGACTCTAGAGAACATCTTTGCTCATTGCTTTTAACCTTCTCACCTCCTGGCTTTTACTTGCTTTTATCTTTCTCTGAAAGGCTTTTTAACTGCCTTGGGAACTGCCTAGGGGTGGTATAAGAATATGCTTTTATTAAATGCACCGTTTATTTCAGCCTCTGAGTGTCCAACTGTACCAGAGATGCAGAATTACTCCTTGGACAAAAGTAAAATACTGAATATACACAAGAAACTACTTGGGACCAGAGCTCTGCTCAGATATTAGTATTAGTGTGTATTTTATCTCTTCTTATGCTATTTGTGTAACACTCCTTTAAGTAGTAACAGCCCTCATTTCCCCCAGGTCCAGAGGCAAATTCTTATTAAGAACTTTATTATTAAGAATAACAAAAATAGCTAACAGTTACGTAGCACTTTAAGGTTTGCAAATCAATTTCCATCTTATCTCATTTGATCCTCACAATAACCCTGGGAGGTCGGTGCTATTACTATCACCATTTCAGATAATAAAACTGAAAGGGAGTTGAGTGGCTTGCCTAGGATCACACAGCTAAGTAGCAGGATTATTTCTCATCAGACCATCAATTAGTCTCATTTTCCTCATAATCTTCAGATTGAAGATTGGCTCCTAAAAATGAATGGCCCTTACCTTGGCTCTGGCCTCCCGGGTGGCCTCAGCTTCTGCCGCCATCGACCTTTGCAACTGCAAGGGAATCCGGACATCTTTGATTTCTACTCGGGCCACCTGGATGCCCCACAGCTCAGTAGCATCATCCAGTATTGTCTGTTTCAGAAACAAGAGAAAGAACAATACCGACCAGAAGACAGGTCACTAACTGGGTGTATTTTTCCCATGCTCTATATTTTACAAGATTCATTCTCCTCCTTCTTTTCCTCCTTTATTATTTATTCCCCTTCTTTAGGCTTTAGCAGCTCCATGACTACTTTACAGGATTCAGTTTGGTTTATGAGGAAGGGGCTGATTCATGTCAGGATTAATCTAATCTAAATTGCTCCTGCAGGATAGTGCTCAACATCCAAGGTGTGAATAGTTATCACAAAAGCAGGCCAGCAAGATCAGGCCCCAAGGCAAGTGTTTTAAGGAGTGAAAGCTCTCTGCTTCCTGTGATGTCCTCCCCTAACCAGGGGTGGGGAACCTGCGGCCTTGAGGCCACACGTGGCCTTCTAGGTCCTCAAGTGCGACCTTTTGATTGAGTCCAAGTTTCACTGTACAAATCCTTTTATTAAGGAGATTTTTTCTGTGAAGTTTGGATTCAGTCAAAGGGCCGTACTTAAGGACCTAGAAGTCCACGTGTGGCCTTGAGGCCCCAAGTTCTCCACTTCTGCAACCCATCCCAACTTTCCTAACCCCTTCCTGAGCACACAGCTCAGGGCATTTCACAAGCCACCGAGTAAACTTCTGTAATTTTTCAGCCTAAAATAACTCAATTTTTAAAGTTCTTCAGTAAAATAATAACTAATGTTTATATAATGCTTTAAATTTTGCAAATCACTTTAAAGACAGAGAGTTTCCCAAAAGCCTTGAGCTCTTATTATCCCCATTTTACAAAAGATGAAGCTAAGGCCTCAGCCTTAACCCGAAGTTAGGTGACTTACCCGAGGTCACCCAATAAGGAAACGTCTGAGGCAGGATTGAAACTCAGATCTTTGTGACTCTGAGTCTGAAACTCTATCCACTATGCCTTCTCACTGCCTTTTGGGCAGTCCTTAATTTATAATGTTAAATGAAACTAATAAGACACTAAGACCAAAAAATCACTGGAGCCCTCCATGTTCCCCGTCCTCCCCAATACACTTTACGATTGGGAAAGAATGAAGCCTATATCCTTGAAAGCCATTGATCTTCTATATGAATAGATAGGTAGATAGATAGATAGATAGATAGATAGATAGATAGATAGATAGATAGATAGATAGATA